TCCCGGCGCCTTTGTCCTCGCCGCGCCAGTTAGGCAGGAAATTGAGGGCGCGGCGGGCATCGCCCCCCGCACGCGTCGCGCGCAGGCCACAGCGTGCCGCAGTCGGCGCCGAGGGGCGCGCCGTCGGACAACGACTTCCCGGAACCCTCGAAGCTGGCGGTGCGGACGACATCCAAGCCGTGATCTGCAAAAGCGAGCGACGAGCTCCGTCTTCGTTCTCGGACCCGAGCGGGACGTCCCAGGCCTGGTGCACACATCTGCCGGGGCAGGTCGGCGCGGCCAGCCTGGCGGGCCGACCCGTTGATCTCCTGGCGAGGCAGCTCCGCGGAGCCTCCAGCGCCACAGGCACCGAGAGACTCCACGGACACCATGCCGCCTACCTCTCGGAATGGAACCCCGACCGAAGAACGCCATGCCAGCGCGCCCGCAACCTCGAGACCAACGAGACGGAGGACACTTGGGAACGACCGCGATCTCGGCACCGCCAATCATGCGTTCCCACGGGTCCGAGCTGGGCGACGCGGCGGCGCCGCTCGACCGCGCGCGCCCGCGGACCGGCGCTCGACGATCACCTTGATCTCGCCGCGGAAGTCGCGGCCCACCGCGCCGCCCGCGACTCCGACCCCTGGAGTGCCAAGACTGTCGGCACCTATCCACGATCACAAGTCGCGAGATTGACGTCCGCGCAAGCATAGAAGACGCAACCCGCGGCCCTGGGCGCGCCCCGCGAGGGTGCTCGGGCATTAGGGCTGACGAGCTGGATCTTCAGCATCTCGTGCTCGCGGCCGTCGGCAGCGCGGTCAATTGACCGTCGTTGCCCACCACCAGCGGCGTGAGCTGCTCTGGCGGCAGGCCCACGGAGCGCGACCAAACCTTGCCGAAGTCGTCGACAGGAGCGCACACGTGGCCGCGCGGCGCAGACCCCGAGTCGAAGTAGACGGCGGCGGCGCCTCATGTGATCCCGCAGCCGCCAGGCCCAGGGAAGGCGAGACGCTCGCGGTCAACGCCTGTCTCAGCCGCCCCTCTGTTGGACCGCATGGACTGCGGACCGAAAAAGGGTCAGCGCCTGCGCCCTCCACGACTGGAGCTCGAAGGCTGCGCTGACTGGTCGCGCCATCGCGAGATGTCGTCGCCCCGGGGCAGTGGACCTGCCAGTTTGCTACCTGTGACCCGTCGCCAGCTCCTGCTGCTCATGATGGGGTTCACAACTTCTCCTCGGAGGGCCCCAGCCTCGCCCGCCCGGCCTCGCGGGCCACATTCTTCACGGCGAAGCGCAGTCCCCGGAGGTTCGCCCAGGCGCCAGCGTCAACTATGACGCCTGGCCGGTCACCTGGAAAATCGGCGCTCGCCAAGTAGCACGGCGACTCGCTCGATGACCTCGACCCTGTCCCTGCCGAGGTCAAGTCGGCCAACGCGGGACGGTCGGCCGGAGTGGCGGATGTGCAAATCCAGGCGGGCGCCACAGGGCGCCAGGGCGCCCGCGGGCGACGCGAAGCTGGACGACCTGCCCTGCGATTGCGAGAGGTCTGGCCGAGGCGCCCCTGCGACAGGGGGCGGTCGAGGAGACGCTGCGCGATGTCCTGCTGCGGCGGGCGGGCCGACGCCACGGGCGCCGGGCCAGTCGGCGCGCGATCTAACGTGGAAGCCGGCGGCGACGTCGGCCAGGCCGCGGCGCGCCAGACCGCGCGCCAAGCGGGCGCGTGCACCCGTCGCAGATGGCGCGCGCGGCGCAAGATGCGGCGGCACTGCAGGCAAATCACCCTCTCGCCACACGGGAAGGCCTCAAGGCAGACGGGGCGCCCCCCAGACGTCGCCGGCGAAAACCGCGACCGAGGGGGGCTCGGCAGGTGGAGCGGCCGGCGCAGGAGGAAGGTCAAGGTTCAAAATAACTTGCCCCCGGGGAGACTCTGGCACCGGCGGCGCCGCAGCTGCCGATGGGGACCGAGGCGGCCACGCGGAGCTCGATCCACATGGCGCGCCGACGCCGAGAGCTGAGACCGAAGGCGCGCACGCCCAGCTCGGCAGCCGCACGCGGCCAGCGGAGCACAAAGCGCGGCAACTCGCGCGTTGAGGTCGCCCACCCAGTCGCGAATGCCCCAATGGGAACGCACCGCCCACTCGCGCCCACCATTGCGGCGTCGGTTGGCGCTGGCGAAGCTGCGGGGGCTGCCGACGCCGACGGCGCGGCCGGCGCCGCCGGCGCCGCCCCCCCAGGCCCGCCGCCCGCGCAAAGTCTCGCGCGCGGCTCGCGAGCTCCGCACCCTCCCGCCGCAGTCATCGCAGCCCGGAATCGCGAGGGGGCGATGTTTCTACTCGACGTGACCAATGGCTGCGGTCCACTCGTTGCCAGGAGCCAGCAGACGACCCACTCAGAATGAGCGCGGGCGCTGCGGACCACGGCGCCGGCGCTGACGGAGTCAGCTGTCCGCCGCTCCAGGAGCCAGCGCTCCGGGCAGGATCGCCCTCCCTGGCGCCCATCATCGCGGGCGGCGGAGCCCCGGAAGCGACCCTAATCATCCACGCTGCGCACGCTCCTCGCACGGGCTCCTGGTCGGAGCTGCGGGTCGGCTGCCCCCCCCCCGCCCCCGCTGTCACAGCAGCGCGAGCGGCGAGGGCGCTGGCGGCGGCGACGGCGCCGGGGCGCAGGCATTGAAGACGAATGCGCCGTCGGCTGCGCCGCCGGGGGCAGTCGCGCAATAGGCGCTCGTTAGAGTCGCACTCGCAGCATGCGAGACGCACCCCGCCAGGGCCCACGGGTTTGCCGCTGGCGGCCCGAACCCGCGCCACCAGCCCCGAACCTCCCCATGCCTATACTTCTGCCCCTCCCCGAGCCCGCGAAAGCCTTCTGGGGCCGTTCTCAGCTGCGCCAGCGCGTTTCGGGGCGCCCGAAAGCCCGGGGGGAGGCGCGCGCCGCGACGTTCCACGGGAACGGGAACGTCGCGCAGCTCGCGACTCGGGATCGCCCGCGGCATCATCTTCGCCGAATGAGCTGACGGCGCCAGCATCGGCGCCAGAATCAACACCCGCCGCTGGGAATGCCCCCCTGCGCCGGCGACGCCGCGCTGGCTTTGCCCGCGACTGCCAGCGCGGACAAGCTCGGCGTCGCCCCCAACGCAGCTGCACCCACACACCCACAGCTCGATTAGGCCACAGCACAACAGGCGCCGCGAGCCTGATCTCACGCGGGCGCACCCTCGAGGAACGCGCGCTGCAGCGGACCGCCGAGGCGAAGTTACCTGGCGACCCCTCGACCACATGCCCAAAGCGTCACAGCTGGGCCGTCACGCGCGCGAGCTGGGCTGCGATCGAGGGGCAGGCCTCGTTGCAGTGCTGCAAGATCATGGCCAGCTGGGCGTTCGACACGCCAACGGCGCGCAGCAGAAAAATGCCGAGACCCTCGTCGCCGATCATGGAAGGACCAACTTGCTGCGCTCGGTCGTGGGATATGCCGAGCCGCGCGAGGAATTCGTCGACAAGCTCGTGCGGCAGTCTGTTGATGCGTTGAAGCTCGTAGGTGCGGGCACTGCCAAATCGCGCCCACGCATTCGCGCGCCATGCCGACGGGGCTGCCTGGCGGAACTCGTTGATGTCTGAGTTCGCCACTAACCAGATCATCACCTCGCGCACCCATCTCTGGAAGGGCACGCGAGCCTGATGCTCGGGCCCCCAGGTTCGCAGGTGGCGCACATTGCCGCTGCCGCTGCCTGCGCCCATGCAAGAAAGGCAACTGGCGATGGCAAGCGCGCCCACTCCGAAAGGCAACTGGCGATGGCAAGCGCGCCCACTCCGACGGCCTTCCATCCAGAGCGCATATCCCGCCATGCGTTGCGGAGGTGCTGGAGACTGGGGATCCAGCGGCGCTGCTCGGTCAGGGTGTCTCGGAGCCACCGTGGACACTTGCCCCCGATGTTCCTCCTCATCTGCGCAACAGGCGCATTTTTCCGTCGCGTGGTCGTGGAATCCCCGGCACTCGGAACACCCTGCGGCACAATCGCGGGAATGCTGTTCGTACGTCGTGTTGTCACAATACTGAGTACCGCCAACTGCGCGATCGTCAAGAGGAGTGCGCATCTGGACCCAGTCCTGCCAAGCTGCAAAGAATCAGCGGGTAATTAAGACGAAAAGTCATGCTCCAAGACATCGAAGAGGGTTCATCCTAGATCCGATTCGCTGTCCCTCGAAGTGCCAGTAGCACAGTTACCAGGCCTTCCGCTCTTCTCTACAGATTCCTCGCAGGGCTCTCGTCACACATTCGCCAGAAGCTCGGGGACCTTGAACGGCACCGTAGGTGTCAACGATGTGGCAAGCAACTGTCCGACATTCGCGGTTATTCCCAAAAGGCGGGTGCATCAAGGGGGTATGGTCCGCGAGCTCATGGGGTCCTTGAAGGTCTCGTACTGGTTGAGGTGTCGGTTGTGCACATTCCCCGTCACTGGTTCTGCAGGCCGAAGGGCGAGACGAAGAGCGGATGTTCAGCGAGATGACCTGCTGGACGCAGAGCGGCATGTTGCAGAACGGCGGCGAGGTGGAACATGAGCTACCGATGCGCAGCGAAAACGGAGAGCCGTCATTCGTGTGCAGCGGGCGGGCTGTGCTTTTGCATAGCGGGCGTGTGCAGTCATAGCGTGTCTAAAAACGGGCGCGTTAGGATCGACCCCAAAAATGGCATCGGCAAAGACAGGCAAGGAAAGGGTGAAAATTGCAGAGCAGGAACCGTTCGAGTCTGGAGGGGACGAGGATGAGGAGGAGGACGACGACAACGACGAGGACGAGCAGGAGGGGGGAGGACTGCCCTCCTCCCTCCTCTTGCCCTCCTTCTCATTCTCGTCCTCCTCCCTCCGCTCCTTTTCTTCCTCGTCCTCCTCCCTCCTTCTCCTCCTCGTCCTTTCCCCTCCTCGTCCTCCTCCGCTTCTCCCTCCTCGTCCTCCCTCCCTCGTTCCCATAACCTCGACGGACGGTTGCGGGGCGCCCCAAGGCGGACGACGGGGAGGGAGCGCAGCCTCGAACACCGAAGCGGCCTTGCCGATCGCCCTCGGGGGGGAGGATGATCGAGGGGGGGAATGGAGGAAGTGGTGGGAGAGAAGGAGGAGGAGAAGGAGGAGTAGACGGAGGAGGAGGAGGAGGAGGAGGAAGACCAATGCAACCCCAAGACCCATCAACAATATTGCAATAAACCCTCCCGCCAAATTGCCTCTTCACATAGGCCCCCGACAAAGATTCATGTTCACTGGTGGGAACGCCCAGTTGGAAGACAACCGTTCGAAAATCCTGAACTGCGCCAAAACACCGTTCCTGGGACTTCAACGCCACGAATCACCGTTAATGCTGCGTCTTGACGATACTGAGCCATGCTAGAAAAAAACATTCTTGGAACTTGAACACCGCGAATCAACGTAATTCTGGCGCACTGACCGTCCGACCTCGCACCCAAGCACCATTTCCGGGGCGTTAACCATGATAATGCTGGAAGCTCGTGTAAACTCTGAAAGCACCCGTATGCTGCGACAAAACGAGAATCGCAGTTTAATAACCCGCTCTCTTCACGTGAAGCTCTTGCAAACATGTAAGACGAATGCGCGGGGCGCTGAAGCGAGAACCGCATGTTGAAGAGAAACCGCCCTCCATCCATGAAACTCGGTCACATCTTGAAACGAGCGTGCGCAACGCTAAAATCAGAACCAAATGTTGAAAAGGAACCGTCCTCCATCCGTGAAACTCTTGCACCTTGTCAAAAATATGTGCGTTGCGCCAAAGCGAGAACTACATGTTGAAAACGGCTGGCCCTCCGTCCGTGAAACTCTTGATCACTCTTTACAGCGAACGTGCGCGGCGATGGGGCGAGAACCATCTTTTGAAAACGGCTGGCCCTCCGTCCATGAATGTGCGCGGCGCTAAGGCGGGAACCACATGTTGAGAACGGCCCGCCCTCCATCTATGAAGCTCACACTCGCAGCTTGAAGTTCATAAAGGATGAACAAAAACTCACGCGAAAAAAACAAGCCCGCCCTACACCCTGCGAAATGCTTAAGAATCATGGGTTAAGAAATTCATAGTCTCAGAATTTGAATGAAAACCCAGAATTCTTAGCAAAATCTTAGGATTTACATTAAACATTAAGAATAATCGAGACTCTGGCCGAAAACTCAAGTTTTCTTAAGCATCGCCTAGAGTGTACCGACATGCCTCGGGGGGGCGACAGGGAAGAGCTACTTGCAAGGACAAGGAAATGAGGAGGGGGGATGAGGGGCAGGGAAGGAGGGGGTAGGACGAGGAAGAGGAGTACTAGGAGGAGAAGGGGAGGAGGAGGAGGAAGAGGAGGAGGCACGCGTTCGAGGCAGAGTTGCCCCCCACAATAACTCAAGTGCGAACTTCTCCTGCTCTTTCTTCACAGCCGATGCTGCGCAGAAGTGCGCCTGCCAGACTCCATCTATCTTTGAGGCCCCGCGCCCCCGCCAGATCAAAACGGGAGGTCTGGCCTGACTGGTCCAAGCGGTGGCCCTTGCCACGCTCCTTTCTGGAAAAGGTTTTGAAAGAAGAAAGAAGGTCTGGGCTGAACGCAGAAACCCAGACGGGAAGGACGACGACGACGACGACGAGACTGCGAGGACGCAACTGCGATGCCAAGGACGGCCTGGGTCCTGCCCCTCTGCACGATGCGGCGAAGCTGAGTTCAAACGGAGCACGTTACCAGCCTGGAACATATCCCTATCCCTATGCTGGGCACCTCCTCATCACGATGCCAATCTTCGGGATTCCCTTGTTTTTTGAGGGCGAATCCCTAAGACTGTCACCGCCGTTTGGCGTGTCAATCTTAGGGATAGGGATACGTGCGAGGCTGGTAAGCACGGTCTGCACGGAGGCCGAGCGCTACGCGTGGCCTCACTCCGCGTGGCCCTGGCGTCCTAGCAGGTGAGGCCAGCTCAAGACAGAGCAAGCCCATGCGGAGACAGAGCACTCCGCATGGCATCACTCCGCACGGACCGAATGGAGCTGGCATCCTATCGGGCGAGTTTGAGACCAGACGGAGCAGGGTCAGTGAGGAGACCGGGCACTCCGTATGGCCTCACTCCGCATGGACCTGGCACCCTATCAGGCGAGGCGAAGTCCAGACGGAGCAAGTCTGTATGGAGACCGAGCACTCCGTATGGCCTCACTCCGCATGGACCTGGAATCCTCTAAGGCGAGGCCAAGTCCAAACGGGGCAAGCCTGTACGCACTGAGCCAGCTCATCCGTGTCACCCATGAACGGCTCTGGGCAGGGGCATCTGTCATTCGTCAGCGTTGTTGGGACTCGCTGTAAGCTCGCCTGGGCCATCCGCCCTGATCCGCTCTAATTCGGCGGTGGACAAACCTCCCTTTAATAAACCTCCCCTTAGTCAAAACGGCCTGGGACCGAAACCGACGGTCCTGGGCCCGCAAAAATGACGGCCGCGACGCCCTCTCGCGGACCGAAAACGGCCAATTCCTTCATCGACGTGTCAGGGTAGGAGGTCGATCCACCTCCGACGGATCCTCCCATGCGCGCGAAGAACATAAAGGGGCGCGTGTGCCGGGTGCGGCGCGACAGTCGACAGCCACAGCAGCGTCCGGGGTGGGCAGCGGCAGCGGCGGGAGGGGGGGAGGGGGGAGAGAGCGTCGGCAGCGGCGGAAGGTGCGCCGAATGCAGCAACGGGGACTGCAGCGCTCGTTCTGCTCCGAGGCAGCCGCGCTGGCTGAATGCTCGACGTTTGTGAGAGAGCTGGTGGGTAGGTGTGGTGTGTAATATAGTGTAGTTGCCGGCTAGTCTGGATAGACTTCGAGCCGTAATCCGAGTCCAAGTCCAAGTCCAAGGTGTGCCGGATAGCAACTGCGGTAGCGGCAGCAGCGGCAGCAGCGGCAGCAGCGGCAGCCGCGGCAGCCGCGGCGGCGGAAGGCGGGCGCGTGGCGCATCGAAGGGCAAACGAGGACCCGGCGCCACGGGATGCTGAGAAAGGGGCGGAACGCAGCGGAATACTAACAGGACGATGACGAGGGCGAAGAGAACCAGCGGGGAAGATCAAAGAGGAAGAAGCAAAGCACGCCGCGCCCGTCCTGATCTTGGCAGGGAGGTTATCAGCCAGCCACTCCTGTTGCCGATACTGCACGTGCCATGATGCAACACAGGGGCCTCATCTAGACAAACTTGCCGAATGAACTGAACCAGCCAACACTTGACAAAGAATTCTCCCATTAACATGTGCTCGAGTGCGCTCCCACATTCTGGAAAACTTGACACGATCTGCAGCTGCGCCTGCATGTGCGAGTCCGGGCAACCCCGCAGCGTGAGTACATTCGCATTGCGGCGTGATCAAAGCCATAGCCATGTGTATCTATACACACACACATATACATATGTACACACATGTGCGCATTACTGTGTATGCCTTTACTAGAACCATCGCGCGCGCTTCGCGCGCCCTCAGGTTCTAGCACGCCCCACGCCTCGACGAGTTCACAGCTCCACTGAAGTAATGGACCACAGATGGTTTGAACGGGAAGTGAAGAAGTGCCCATTACGCTGATGGCATTGTGGGCAGTGAGAGAACCTTGCATGCCAATCCGCATTCCAGAAGGTTTTCTGGGAAGATGGTTGCGTAGGGGGGCGGAGGCCTGATGAATCGGGTTCCCAGAAGGCCTTCTGGGAACATGGGTTCGGGGGGCGTCTTGGGGAACCTGTGCGTGCCATCGTCGTCGTCGTAATGGCGTCGTCGCCTCTTGGGGCGCGCCGTCGTCCTCGTCCTCGTCCTCGTCCTCGTCTTCGTCGTTTCGTCGTCTTCGTCGTTGTCGTCGTCGTCGATTCAAGATGGCCCTTGGGGCAACTTTGTACGAAATAATCCGCGGAGGGCCGCGAGAAGGCGATCAGTCATGTTCCCAATCAACTTCCCAGACAGCTCTCCGGTTTCGCGATGGTACTTCGGAGCCGTCAGGTTGCACTCTCGGGCCCATGATGAACCGTGTCCCCGAAGGGCTTTCTGGGGACATGATTAGTTGGGGTGTGTTGGGGGGCCTCTTGGGCGTTCCCCGTGGGCCCCTTTGGGGTCTCTTGGGGGGTCCTGGGGCCTCTTGGGGGCCTCACGGGGCTTCGTGAGAGCGGGGCCTACTGAGGGCCCCTAGGGCCAGAGACCTCGAAATAAACGTTTGCGGTCCCCCTCTGGGCCTCCCTCTTGGGGCGCTCTTGGAGCACACTTGGGTTGTCTGGGGGGGCCTCCTGGGCCGTCTTGGGGCCCTCTTCGGGGCCTCGTGGGCCGTCTTGGAGCGATCTGAAGGGCCTCCGAGGCCGTGAGGGAGCGCTGGGAAGCAGGAAAAGCGAGAACGCCCAAAATCCGTCTACACCCAAGGAAAATTGATGAATTCTGCCTCCCAGGGCCATCTTGGGGAGCCTCTTGAGTCCGTCCTGGAGCGCGTTGGAGTCCTCGTCGGCCGTCTTGAGGGCATCTTGGGCGTCTTCGGGGCCTCTTGGGACCGTCTTGAGCCCTCTTGGGAACCCCTTAGCCTGTCGTGGCCTGTTTCGGGGCGGGCCCAGGGCGTCTCGGGAGCTCTGGGACCCCCCCAAAACCGGGGGGGCGCCCATAGGGGGGGGTACAGACAGCGGCCCGGCCCCCCCCCCCGCATACTCCGATATCTGCAATATATATATATATATTATATATATATACATACATACATACATACATGCATACATTCATACATACATACATACATACATACATACATGCACATGCATGCATGCATGCATGCATGCATGCATACATACATACATACATACACAATACATACATACATACATACATACATACATCATGCATGCATACACATACACATACACATACACACACAAACATACACATAAACATATATACATACATACATACATACATACATACGTACGTACGTACGTACGTACGACGTACATACATACATACATACATACACATACATACATACATACATACATACATACATACATGCATACATACATACATACATACATACATACATACATACATGCATGCATGCATGCATGCATGCATACATACATACATAAATGCATGCATACATACCTACCTACCTACCTACCTACCTACCTAAATACATACATACAGACAGACAGACAGACAGACAGACAGACAGACAGACATATACACACACATACATACATACATACATACATACATACATACATACATACATACATACATACATACAGACAGACAGACAGACAGACAGACAGACAGACAGACAGACATACATACATACATACTAGAACCATCGCGCGCGCTTCGCGCGCGCTCAGGTTCTAGCCCAGGCCGGGGGGCCGCTGGACGATCTTGGACAACGCTATGAAGCACAGGCGCGCGACGGCATCTGAGGAGTTTCTGGGGTGTTCCGCATGCTTCGTCAACTGGCTGTTGGAAGCACCTCTTGGGTGCCTCTTGGGGGGGCGTCTGAGGGTCACTTGGGGGCATCGGTTCTGTAATCTGAAGCCGTCATTGGCCGTCTTGGCTGCGTGGAGGCCCGACTTGAGGCCACCTGCGGCCAGATTGAGGCAATCCAGAAGCCTCCTGGGGGCCTCCTGGAAGCAGTTTTGACGCATCGAGGGCACTCTTGGGCTATTTTAGGACCTCTTGGAAGTCTCCTAGGGGCCTTTTGGGCCCTCGGGAAGCTTCTGGGGTCCTCGTCAGACCACTTGGGGGCCTCTTGCGGCCTCCTGTGGGCGCTCTGCTGCTGTGTCGCGTTCCCCTTCTTGGGCCTCTCTTGGGGCTCTTGGGACCCTCTCGGGCCGTCTTGGGCGCCTCAAGCACCGTCTTGGGGCCCTCGCGGGCCGTCTTGGGGCCCTCTTGGAGGCCTCTTCCTCTATATTGGAGCGGCATTGGAAGCCTCTTGGGCCGTCTTGGAGCATCGGGATGCCAAAAGGCAGAAAAATTGAAACCCGTCAAAGCCCAATCGTAAAACAATGAGTTGTGCCTCTTGGGGCCACCTTGGAAGATCTCTTGGAACCTCGTCGGCCCTCTTGGGAGCTTCTTGGGGGCCTCTTGGATCCGATTGGGGGCCTCTTGGGACTTCCCGAGAACCTCTCGGGGTAGAAAGCTCGGATTCTCGGTTCGTGTTTCCCTTCGTGGGCCCTCGTGCCACCGTGCCCTGGGTGGTGGGTCAGAGGCCTCATGGGTGTTGGTTTGGATCTCGTGGTTGGCCTGTCGGAGACGTCGTGAAGCCAGTTTCGCAGCTTCTCGATAGCCGTTTTGGGACCGTTGTGGGGCCTCCTCGGGGCTGTTTTGTGGCCTCTTTAGGCCTCGTTTGGGCCTCCTGGGTGCCTCTTGGGGGCCTCCTGGGGCCTCTTGGGGGCTCCTTGGGGCCTCCTGGGGCACTCTTCAAGCGGGAGGGTCGAATTTTGGAGTCGTGGTCCCCCTCTTGGGCACATCTTGGGGCCGTCTTGGGGCTCTGTTGGGCTGTCTTGGGCGACTCTGGGGCCGTCTTGGAGCCCTCTTGGGCCGTCTTGGGGCGCTCTTGGGGGCCTATTGAGCCGTCTGGGAACGTCGGACAGCCGAAAAGGCTGGAAGGCCAAAACCGTTCGAAACCTTCGAAAAATCGACGATTTCGGCCTCTTGAAGAGCTCTGGAGAGGCGTCTTGAAGCGTCGTGGAGTGCCTTGGGGGGCCTCTCGGGCCGTCTTGGGCCTATCTTGGGCGTCCTGGAGCGGTCTTTCGGCGACTCGGGGCCCGCTTGGGCCGTCTTGGGAGCCTCTGGAGGCCCTCCTGGACTATTTTGGACCTCCCCGGCCGCCCCGTCCTCCCACGGGGGGTCGGAGGCGGCGGACTCCGAGACCCAAGACGCGGAAACCCTGTAAAAACATATGGAAAATGAGCCCTGGTACTCCCATGGAGGGTAGAGGCAGCTGTTTTCGGGCCCCAGGCCTGCCCCCCGTGAAGTGTATATGTATGTATGTATGTATGTATGTATGTATGTATGTAAGTAAGTAAGTAAGTAAGTAAGTAAGTAAGTAAGTAAGTAAGTAAGTAAGTAAGTAAGTAAGTAAGTAAGTAAGTAAGTAAGTAGTAAGTAAGTAAGTAAGTAAGTAAGTAAGTAAGTAGGTAAGTAGGTAAGTAGGTAAGTAGGTATGTAGGTATGTAGTAGTAGTATGTAGTAGTAGTATGTATGTATGTATGTATGTATGTATGTATGTATGTATGTATGTGTGTGTATGTATGTATGCATGCATGCATGCATGCATGTATGTATGTATGGATGTATGTATGTATGTATGTATGTATATATGTATATATGTATAGCTAGATAGATAGCTAGATAAATATATATATAGATATATAGTTAGATAGATAGATAGATAGACACATATGCATACATACATGCATACGTACATACATGCATGCATGCATGCATGCATGCACATACTTACATACATATATACACATACTTGCATGCATGCATACATACATACATACATAAATACATACATACATACGACGTACGTACGTACGTAGTCAGACAGACAGACAGACAGACAGACAGTGACAGACAGACAACAGACAGACAGACAGAAGACAGACAGACAGACAGACAGACAGACAGACAGGACCAGACCTCCACCTCATCCTCCTCCTCATCCTCCTCCTCCTCCTCCTCCTTCCCTCCTCCCTCCTCCTCCTCCTCCTCCTCCTCCTCCTCCTCCTCCTCCTCCTCCTCCTCCTCGTCTTCCTCCTCATCCTCGTCCTTTCCCGAGCCATACAATAACAACTTGCGTGGAACCCCTCTCGGGCCCATCTTGGGGCTCTGTTGGGCCGCCTTTGGAGCCTATTGGGGCGTCCTGGGTCTCTCGTGGGGGCTTCTTGGAGCTCTCTTGGCGCCTCCTGGAGCCTCTTGGGGCCCAAAGCTCGGAATTCTACAGCGGCTTTCTCCCTCTGGGACCCCTCTCGGGCACGCCTTGGGGCTCTCTTAGGCCATTTTGGAGTCCAATTTTGCCGGCCTGGGCGCCTCGTGAACCGTCTTGGAACTCTCTTGGGGGCCACCTAGGCCGTCTTGGGAGCCTCTTCGGACGTGTTGGACGCGGTGAACACCCAACAGGCGACCATGCGAAAAGTATACGTTTTCCCATAGGAATGGGACCATTTTTGCTTCTTGGACCTCTCTTGGGGTGCCTCTCGGAACGTCTGGGGCTGATTTTGGAAGCCTTTTGGCGCCTCTGGGCGGCGTTTTGGCGCCTCCTGGGATGTGTTGGGCCGGAAGCTCGGAATTCGAGAGTGGCTTTCTCCTTCTGGGACCCCTCTCGAAGTCGTCTTGGGGTTCTCTTGGGCCGTCTTGGGGCCGTCCTGAGCCACTCGTGCGCAGCCTTGGAGCGCTCCCGGAGGCCTCCTAGGCCGTCTTGGAGGCCTCTTGGGCCGTCTTGGACGCGGTGAAAGCCCAAGATGCGAACATGCGAAAAATATACGTTTTCCCATAGGAATGGCACGATTTTTGTTTCTTGGACCTCTCTTGGGGTGCCTCTCGGAACGTCTTGGGGTGCTTTTGGGAGCCTTTTGGCGCCTCTTGGCGGCATTTTGGCGCCTCCTGGAGCCTCTTGGGCCGGAAGCTCGGAATTCGAGGTTGGCTTTCTCCGTCTGGGACCCCTCTCGAACTCGTCTTGGGGCTCTCTTGGGCCGTCTTGGGGCCGTCCTGAGCCACTCGTGCGCAGCCTTGGAGCGCTCCCGGAGGCCTCCTAGGCCGTCTTGGAGGCCTCTTGGGCCGTCTTGGACGCGGTGAAAGCCCAAGATGCGAACATGCGAAAAATATACGTTTTCCCATAGGAATGGCACGATTTTTGCTTCTTGGGCCTCTCTTGGGCTGCCTCTCGGAGCGTCTTGGAGGCTTCTGGGACCGTCTTGGTGTCATGATAGGCGTCTTGGAAGGCATCTGGAGCCATTGGAGCGCGTTCCGAAGCCGCCTGCAAACGATCTTCGACGGCGTCCGGCGGTCCGACGAGCCTCCGGGCCCCCCGGGGCCCACATTTGCGGTCGAGGTCCCGGCCCCGGGCCCCCAGACCCGGTGCGCCGTTATATGTATACATATACATATACCTATATACATATTTACAAATACATATATACATGTATACATATATACATATATGCACACACGTATGCATACACTAGTGTGGGCCCGTGGATCAAATCCACGAAGTTGAGGGGATAGAACTTTGGCGCTGCGTTCTGGGGTGTGCGTCGACGTCGTCGTCGTGGTCGTCATTGTCGACGTCGTCGTCGTCGGCATCGGCGTCGTCGTCGTAGTCGTCGTCGTCGTCGTGTTCTTCTTATCGTGTTCGTCGTCGTCGTCGTCGCCGTCGTTGTCGTCATCGTCGTCGTGGGCGTGGTCGTCGTCGTCGTAGCGGAGCAATCGAGGAGACGGATGAAGGAGAATGAGCAGCAAAAGCCGGGAGGAGAAACGCGAGGAACACGAGGAGCGGGAGGAGCGGGCAGAAGGGTGAGGAAGCGAGGAAAAGGTGAAGGCCTCGCTGGGAATGGGTGGGGGCCTCTGGTCTGTCATCCGCCCCCACCTGTAGAAGGCATAGTGTAGCCTGTTGGAAGTCGTTTGGGGCCCTTTTGGGACTCCTGGGGGGGCTCCTGGGGCCCTCTGGGGCCGTGCAGGACGCTTGTCGGGCCGTCTTGGGGCCGTCTTGGGCCATTTTGGACCCTCTTGGGCCGTCTTGGGTCCATCTTGGGCCGTATTGGGCCCCTCTGGGGCCCCTCCTAAGGTACTCTTAGGCCGTCTTGGGAGCCTCGTGGACCGTCCCGGGGCCGTCATGAGCCATCTGGGAGCCTTCTTGGGACCTTCTTGGGCGGTGGTGGGACGATTTAGGAGGCCTCCGGGGCTGTCGTGGACGCGGTGACGACCCAAAAGGTGAGTTTGCTGAAAACGTCAGTTTTCAGTAGGGAATGTGGTGATTTTTGCTGGATCGGGCTCTCTCGGAGATCCCCTGGGGCCCTCTCTGGGGTCCCCTGGGGCCCTCTTGGAGCCATTGTGGCCGTCAGGGGAGCAGCCTAGGCCGCCCGAGGGCCGTCTTGGATAGTCTGGGGACCCTCATGGGCCGCGTGGCTCTTCTGAAGTGTTCTGGCGCCGTTTGGGGGCTCTCGGGGGGCCTTCGGGTGCCCTTTCGGGGACCCCAGGGAGCTCGGGGAACAGGGGGTCCACGCCAGCACGCCAAGGATCCTGCAAATTTATTTGAGTGGATATACACATGTATGTGCGTATTTTTATATATATATATATATGGAGAGAGGGAAACAGATACACATACGTCTACACGGATAAGTATATATGACGATGATGGTGATGATGATGATGGTGATGATGATGCATGCAAACGCATACATGCAGACATAGAGACATACCTACATACAGGCATACTCTTACACATGCAACGAGGCACACCATGCCATACATACATACGTACACTTACTTATACATACATACACTAATCAAACGCAATCGACATGCGAAGAAAAACTCCAGTCATACTCCCAAAAAATAGAAGTCGCAAAACAACGCAGCGACCTCCTCAAAGTTGTCAGGGTGAATTTGCACATACTTAGTGTTTTTGGAGGGAGAAGATTCAGCGGACAGCAAGCCACAAGAGCAGGCTTCAAAACGCGAATGGCGCCACACTCCTATATCTCGAGCCGCCACACACCTAAAGCCGCACATGCCTAGCACTCACCAACAGATATTTAAGCTTTTGTCAGGCGATCATACCAGCCTCTGCAGCGAGTATCAGGGTCATATTTCTGTTTGACACGCTCATAGAATTTGCCGTTATAGAGACGGTAGAATTCCTCCTTCGAGAAGAAGCACGACGAATACAGTGTCTTGCGGCCTCCGAGATCTGTGCACAAGTTCTCCAGAGCACGATTGATTGTGCCTTTTGACATGCCGCCTTTTGTCTCTGGGCCTTCTAATGCATCCCAGAAGCCAAAGTTCATGTAGAGCTTGTTGGTGTCTTGAGGCATGAGTGGCGCTGCGGTTCCTTTGACAGGGCAAACCCAAATAGGAACGGAAGGTGTTTTGTCACCCGGAAGCGTAAGCTTAATTTTGCCGATCCTAACTGAAGGAACAACTCGCAAGAATTCGCGTATCCATTTGGCAGAAGTTTCGACTGGAATATCGATGTCCTGGATGATCAGCTCTTCGTTCTTGTTCAACTTCAACGGGCCAATGATCGTGCTAATCATAAAGTCATTGAAGATCTTGTACACGTCTGATCGCAACATCGTCGAGCCGCATAGATAGCGGACAAAGCGCCAGCCCAATCCAGGAAAAATCTGGGTCACCCAGAACCAATCTGCATCCCATCGCCATAGATAGTCCAGAGTGCTCAAGTATTCGGCACCCTCATGCAGCAAGGTTGGATAGAATTGAGGCCAAAGTCCGTAATTCTGGACCTGGAATCCTTCAGGAACTGTCGCCACAAATCTTCCTGTTATGACCATGCCACCTTTTTCGCTGAATGCGACGCCATCTACGTAGTCATTGTCAGCCACCTTGCTTTCCTTCGCCAGGCCATTTATAAAGTCGTCTGGGCTTCCGTAGAATTTCTTCTCGATCCTCACTAATGGCTTTGACAGCTGCACTCTCATACGTAAGCGTAGAAGATAACCAAATGATCCCAGAGAGTTTGGTATTGCTTTGAACAATTCAGAATGTTCGTTGTCTGGTGACACTGTGACCACGTCTCCAGAGGCCAACAAGATGTCTGCTTCAACTAAACCATCATGGAAGAAGCCATGCTTGAAAGATGATGATTCAATGCCGATACCAACGATTGCTCCACCAACGGTAATTGTACGCAATTCAGGTACTACCAATGGGGCAACGCCATGGGGAAGAGTTCCGTCTACAAACGTTTCAAACGTTGCTGAAGCTTCGATGTCACACCAAAGTTCCTGAATATTCACTTCTAAAACGTGATTGAACTTGCTCAAATCTAGACGAGCCGATTGCTGTTCGCGTTGTGAAATCTGCTGCGGTCGAAATGTGTTCGAGGCAGTTGCTTTGAACATGCGGAGTGGCCCAGGTTTCCTGGCCTCTTTTTCCGTCTGGGCTACTCTATTTTTGAACTCCTCCCGGCTACAAGTTCCAGCTGGCTTTGTTGCTGGACCACGTATTGCTTGCCGCAAACTGCAGACCAGACCTGTCGACAGGAAGAAGCCCAGCCCACTCAGGAAGGACCTTCGTCCACAACCAATAATGAAAGATGAACCAAGAGATGGCCAGATCCATCCTTCAATCACAAGTGGCAAGATTGGCCAAACCATTCGATGGACAAAAGACCAGCTGACGAAAATTGTTGATGCTTATTCTTGGGCCAAAATCGCTACTGAGGGCCCTCTTGGACCGTCTTGGGGCCCTCTTAAGGGCCTCATGGGCCGTCTTGGGGCGGTCTTGGGGGCCTCTGGGGCCATCCTGGAGGGTCGGAAGCCCATAACGTAAGAACGCGAAAAGCATGGGAAAACACAATGGAAATCACTAGTGTGTGCATCGTTGGGCCCTCTTGGGGCCCTCTTGGGGGCCTCTTGGGGCCTCTTGGGGACCTCTTGGAGGCTTCCTGGGGGCCTCTTGGGGCCTCTTGGGGGCATCTTGGGGCGGAGAGCTTGATTTTTCAGTTCGCGTTCCGTGTCTTAGGCCCCTCTTAGGTCCTTCTTGCGACCCTCTTGCGCCGTCTTGGGCGGCTCTGGGGCCATCTCGGGGCTCTCTTGGGCCTTCTTTGGGCCCTCTTGGGGGCCTCTTGAGCTGTCTGGGAGCGGTTTTGGGAGCCTCTTGGGCGGTGCTTTAGCGTGGGAACACGAAACACCGAGAATGCAAAAAACATTGAAGAACACAATGAAAATCAACGATCTTGCCCTCTCGGGGCGCTCTTGGGCAGCATCTTAAAGGTCTCTTGGGGCGTCTTTGGGGCCTCTGGGGCAGTTTTCAACCCATCGTGCGACCTCTTGGGGGCCTCGTGGCTTGGGGCCTTCCTGGAGGCCTCTTGGGGCCCCTTGGGGGCATCTTGGGGCGGAGAGCTTGATTTTTCAGTTCGCGTTCCGTGTCTTAGGCCCCTTTTGGGTCCTTCTTGGGACACTCTTGCACCATCTTGGGCGGCTGTGGGGCCATCTCGGGGCTCTCTTGGGCCGTCTTTGGGCCCTCTTAGGGGCCTCTTGGGCCGTCTGGGAGCGGTTTTGGGAGCCTCTTGGGCGGTGCTTTAGCGTCGGAAATACGAAACGGCGAGAATGCAAAAAATATTGAAGAAAACAATGGCAAGCAACGACCTTGCCCTCTCGGGGCGCTCTTGGGCGGCATCCGAAAGGCCTATTGGGGCATCTTGGGGGCCTCCGGGGCAGTTTGAAACCCATCGTACGACCTCTTGGGGGCCTCGTGGGGCCTCTTGGGGGCTTCCTGCGGCCCTCTTGGGGCCTCTTGGGGGCATCTTGGGGCGGAGAGCTTGATTTTTCAGTTCGCGTTCCCTGTCTTGGGCCCCTCTTGGGTTCTTCTTGCGACCCTCTTGCGCCGTCTTGGGCGGCTCTGGGGCCGTCTCGGGGCTCTCTTGGGCAGTCTTGGGGCCCTCTTGGGACCTCTTGGGCCGTCTGGGAGCGGTTTGGGGGGCCTCTTGGGCGGCGCTCTAGCGCCAGAAACACGAAACAGCGAGAATGCAAAAAACATATGCAAAAAAACAATGAAAATCAACGATTTTGCCCTCTCGGGGCGCTCTTGGGCGGCATCCTAAAGGCCTCTTGGGGCATCTTGGGGGCCACGAAGGACTGCAACGGAGCCACGAAGGGCAGCGAGGGGGCCACGAAGGCCTGCAACGGGGCCGCGAAGGGCAGTGAGATCCCGATTCCTAAGTAAGCTGTGAGGGAGTTCTAGGCGTGAGCGCGACTCCGGGTGCCTGAAGGTCGGGAGCGCGGCGCTTGAATAAATTGCGGGAGAGTGCAACGCAAGAGCGCGAACCTGGATAAATTGCAAGCAAGTCTCCAGCAGAGCGCGATTCCAGTGTAAATTGTAAGGAAGTCCCAAGCGAGAGCGCGATTCCTGAGAAAAATGCGAGGGAGTCTCACGCGGGAGCGGGGGGTCCTGGCTAAATTGTGAGGAAGTCTGAGGCGGGAGCCGTTGTTGTGTGCGAACCACGGGGGAAGCTCTTCAATGAAAAAACACAATGGTCATCGGAGGGGGGATCAACAGTAATTATTATTCAGTCGCGAAAACAACACCACCAACAACAACAACTACAACAACAGCAACAACCATAACAACAACAACAACAACAACAACAACAACAACAACAACAACAACAACAACAACAACAACAACAACAACAACACCAACACCAACAACAACAACAACAACAACAACAACAACGACAACAACGACAACAACAACAACAACACCAACGACAACAGCAACAACAACAACAACAACAACAACAACAACAACAACAACAACTACTACTACTACTACAACAACAACAACAACAGCAACAACAACAACAACAACAACAACAACAACAACAACAACAACAACAACAACAACAACAACAACGACGACAACAACAACAACAACAACAGGAACAGCAACAGCAACAACAACAAGAACATCAACATCAACACGAACAACAACGGCAACAACAACAACAACAACAACAACAACAACAACAACGACGACGACGACGACGACGACGACGACGACAGCAACAACTACAACAACAACGAGAATCCGCATCGCGGAATCCCACTTCAACGCACATTGGGGCAGTGAAAGACCGTTCGGCCCCCTCACTGTGATGTTCAACAAAAATTGCGCCCATACCCATGTGGATGCAAGTGCATAATGTGTATACGCATACAGAATATATGTATACAGGTGGTGTATATATACATTTATATAGATATGTATACACAAATATACAGATGAGCAGCGCAAGCTGGAGCCACCTTCGCTTTGTTGAACTCCTCCTTCAGCCCCACGATCCACAACGTGTCCAGGGCATCTATCATTGTCACCTCGCCGCGGCACACCGCACTCAAAAAGCCACGCATCCACCCGCAAAGCGGACGCGCCGGCCAAGCGCACAGCGGAGGGGAGGAGAGGGGGGAGAGGAAGGGATGGGCGAGGGGGGTGATGCGGAAGTGTGGATGGGAAGGAGAGAGGAGGCGGAGGGGACGACGACGACGACGACGACGACGACGACGACGACACCGACTAGCGCAAGTGTCGCACGTGTCCCGCCAGGGAGTCAGTCCGCGCCCAGTAGGGCACGGCGTGGAGGCCGTGGTTTCAGCAAGGGAGAAATAAATCCAAAGGTCTAACACAATTTCTTCGCGGAAGGCTGGGCTGGAGGAAGGGGGATACGACTGTATGAAAATAGCTCTCGGAACTCGAATTTTGCATGGGCTCGCCTCAGCTCTGCTCCGTCAACCGCTCGGGGCTCAGGTGGCCGAGATGAGAACGATAAACCCTGGAAGGGAAGAAAACGGAGACCACGACCAAGACTGCAGGCGGAAACGTCGTGTCGATCTTGGTCACAATCGATCTTGGTCAGCGCCGTTTCGTGGATCCTCCTCGCGACTCGGCGACGGCCGACATGGACCACGACCAAAATCGGTGCCGACAAGATCCGACACGTTCCCGCGACATCTTGGTCATGGTCCCCGTATTTCTCCCCTCGGAAACCCAACGCGTGCCACACCATCCGGGAAGATTGTTCTTCGTCGACTATCTAGAGATTGCACGGATCTCTGGTTTCGGCAGCACTTAGCACGAGCGGGGGGGGGAGCGGTGAGGCCAGAAAGGTCAGGGGAGCCGAAGCGGAGGGGGGTGGGCGGGAGCAGGAAGGGAGAGGGGGAGCAGGAGGAGGAGGAGGAG